TTGTGGTAAACGCTGCATTATCTTCCCAAAGGAGGATCAGCAAATACTGGATGATCTGCCTAGTGATTCAGATATGGTTATTCAGGAACCACATAAGGGCAGAACAAACATCTTAATGAGTAAAGACAATGTCAAGATGCTGTAGTATCCTGTTAGTGACATATGTGGCATAGCAGTTTTTCTTTTGGTTATTGTGGAGTGACAAATTCAAGCACCTCCCTTGTGCTACAACCCCTTTTTCCTCAAAACTTACCCATTGCCTGTGACCCCCAATATGACCGTCTAGTGGCCTGGAGAGATCTGGGATGGCAGAGAAGTTTCCAGCTATGTCCCTATGGTAAGGTGCACTATGTGCAACTTCTGAAGGAACCCTGGGAGGTCTTGCAAGATGCTTTTGAAGTTGTACACCCAGCTATTGGAACATAGTTGTATCTCCACTGTAACCTCATCTCCACTGCCCACTAAATGTCCATGTTGGTTGGGTCATAGACAATGAGTGATTCTTGATGGAAAGGAGCCAGAAATAGCATAAAGTTTTCACATGCAGACTCTCAGCTGTTGTCAACTTATGTTCATGTAGATGAGTTTACAAGAGAGCCAGCATGGTATGGTGGTTTGAGTAACAACAATGGTTTTATACATTTATATAGGCTGTATAAATTAGAGTTATCGTAATGAAAACTGCATCACCTGCTGAATGCCCCTATTCCATGCTACCACTAAAGGTACAGGATCCCAATCCTGTTTTCAATCTAGCAACCATGTAATTATTTTTTACTGTTTTACATTATTATAAACTTATTTTATTTTATATAAGACATGTGAGGATCACCTGTATCTGTTCTTGGTCAATCATAAAATCCTAGAACCATAGGAAGGTACCCTAAGGGGCATCTACTCCAACTCCCTGTCAGTACCAACATTTACTGCTAAAACGCCCCTAAGAGTTGGTCATCTTACCTCTGTTTAAAAATCTCCAATGAAGGAGATTCCATGGAATTCTATTCCACAGTTTTCACCCACTGGAAATTCTTTCAAATGTCTAATCAGAGTCTCCTTTCTTTTATCTTGAATCGAATAGTTAAGGTCCTATCCTCTGAAATGGAAGAAAACAAACTGTCATACCCAATGGCTGTGAGTACAAAATGGCTGTTGGTGCTGATTTATTGAGTCTCCTCAATGGTATGCCATTGTTATATTCTTGAAGTCTGGGTTGACTAATTTATTTTTTAAAGGTACCTTTGTTTAGATAACAATTTGATTGAAGTAGCACCACAGTTATAGCTGTTGGATGAGTATTGACTTCTCATCCCTCCTCTGCTATTGACTTCTCATATTGTGTGCAGGTTAACAGGCAGTGAAAAACAAACAAACATCAAGCAGATATGGCACTGAACAGCAGAGTAGAAAAGTAGGGCTGAAAAGTTTTACACACTGACAAAACAGAGGAATTAGACTGACAGCTTGCTCGCTGGGAAAAGAGAAAAGAAACCCTGTATCATAAACAGCAACACCAAAGATGCTAGCAAAGAAAACATCCTAGTAATAGGTACCCCCAACCATTAATCTACACCATACTGTTTGATAGACATCAATGGCTATCTTCAAGCAGGCAGTAACGTGGTAATTCTCAGTAGAATGCTCCAGCCTTGAGATACAAGAAGGAAGCATGCAAAGATTCTATTGTTTTGTGTTAGAGGGGGGAAAGTCACTGTCTATCTATTGTCTATCAGAATTCCAAACTCAATTCATGTTTAGTAGGATGTGAGTCAAACTGAGAGTTCCATATATGGGGCTCATAAATATGCAAAGCAATTTATAATATACTAACTCCCAGTTGTGTTCATACAGATAAAATGTTTGTTGCTGAGGTTGCTCTGGTCTGCCATCTAGACTGGGGAACCTTGGATGGCTGCACCCTAAAACAATTTTTTCTCCAAAATTATCTAATTTACTTTTTGTTTGTTTGTTTGTTTGTTTTCTCTGGAACATTTTATGCTCAGGAGAGGCTTTTTTCCCAATAGGAATGGACCTGAAAGTCAACTTCGGAATAATCTACAATATTTCACAGATGAAAACATATTAGACATATATGACCAATTAATGTCAGAAGGTGGTCAAGATGACAAAAGTTATTAATGAGGAAAAATACACAAGCTAGAAGAGGCCTCAGTGGTTGCTTTTGCCTGAGTCGACTGGGAAGGGCAAGATTTTGCTCCCTCCTCTCCCCACGGTTGAGTTAATTGTGTGCAAACTACTTTTTTTCACATTGAACTCAGTTTGTACCAACTAAAGGGAAATAAATAGAGAAAGTGAGAGGAAGGGAGAAAAACTGGGCACTTTAACAGCAGCTGAAAAAGTGGGACAACAGGGATTAATCAGGACTGTCCTTGCCAGATTTCAATAGTTGGAGGGTGTGCTTCTGGACCACTTCCCATTAGAAAAAAGATTCTTCTAGATCTAAAACAATCTGAGGAGTAAAAAAGTAGCATAAGAACCCCACACATCTTCCAAAAGGTATTAGGGGGACCATGGGGTCAAAAATGCAGAAGAAATAAAAAATACCCCCCTCCCCAGGAGTCAGGAAAACTATACTTGGGGTTATGTGCAGCCTGCAGGGCATACTTTCCCCATCCTGATCTAGACCATGGGTTGTTTCTGGATAACATCTGTGTAGTCTTTGGGCCTTTCCCAGACCTGAAATCCCCCCCAATGCAAAATAAACCTGACAAAAAACCTGGATAGCCACACCTCTAGAAGGCATCAGGGCATACAATTCTGGGCTAAAACAAACAAACAAACAAACAACCATTTGTTGGAAGATTTCAGCAAAATTGCTAACTTTCTGTTCTGCTTCAATCTGAAAGTGGCCTTCTGATCACATCTGGCTTTCAATGGAAAGGGTGGTTATGGGTTGGTGAACAGGGTCAGACCCTCTGTGGCTGCAAACACATGATATGTGATTTTGCAACATGTGTATATGCATCTATATAAAACAAAGTTCTGTTGCACTAATTTATCACCCCAGGCTTCTAGCTGACTTGTACAATAGTCACTGTGAATTGAATGTGGACATTATACCATGGCAAACACATTATACCTGGCATTTTACATATACTTAAGTTCCTAGTACATTTGTGCTTGGCCATGTATAATGTCCACATTCAATTCACAGTTGTGTATGTGGAGTTCGTCAAGTGTAACCATTGCACAAGTGCAACTGCTGCACTTCCTTGAATGGCATGCAACTTCTTATCAATGCCTTCAATATACCATTTGATTCACAGGGATTGTAGAAGCAGCAATTACAGTCAGATATACACAATTGGTTCTATGATGTCAGTATACAGCAGAAGGATGATGTAACACAACTACTACTTAATGTGAACATAGACTGACCTTGCTTCACAATATACAATCTTAGGAGCATATTGGGTCATCAAAACATCCCTTTCTGCACACTGCAGACAGTGAGATTTGCTTGTTCAGACACAGTGGCCACTTTTCCCTTTCCTTCTTTATCATGTGTCCCAAGTGTGTGGTGTACACAAATGAATGTGGCTTGGTTCCATCCGCTGCCGCCAACCTTAATTTTTTATAAGCAGTAGATAATGTTTTGCACTTAATCTAACTAATGCTATTATGTTCTGCTGTTAGAGAATGGTCAGAGTGTTCTGTATTCCCTGTTTGTTCTCTCACTGGAATTTCCACATAATGTTCCTTCATCTGCTCATCCTGCAAATTATGATTGCCGTCAAACCAAATCTGTTTTCTGAAACTTCTCTCAAAAGATGGAGAGAGTGCAATCTATGTGTAGCCATAACTTTTCTCCTGGACCTAATCCTCCCCCTGCCACCTCCATTTTTTTCTTTCTTTCACTTGTTAATTCTCTACTGATTTTAATTAGACCCTCTGCAGATTTGTGGAATTCTTAACTATCAGAAAGCATGCTTTCTAACTTGCAACACAAACCACAATGCTCAGTACCCATGAATTTATCATAGACCATCCTTGCAAAATCACCTCGTGCGTTCATCTGCATTAGTCCTGCTGTGCTGTGGAGGGCTCCACCCAAATGTGTTCAGAAGTTTAGACATGGTAGTGTTTTAGTCCTTCTGTAAGAAGATAATGAGACAAAGCCCAGTTCTAAACACATAGGCATACCAGTAAGCATCAACATTGAAATATATCAAAACAAAAAGTTCTGCATTGTATGACTAGGGAATTGTAGTCCTGTGTTCAGAATGAATTGTGTAAAGTTATAATTGCATTTTTCCATCCTATTTTTAAAATAGGCATAATATTCTCCTGTTTCTCAATGTGGATACACAAGGATCCAGGCTTAGCCATGTATAAAGCACATCAATTGGCCAAGATTCTATGTCTCCACATATAGAATTAAGCATTGATTGTATAGTATGACCCTCATGTTGAATGGCAATACTGTATAAAAAATGCACACTCAAATTGCAACACAATGCACTACCAAATGCACAACTGAATGAGAAACTGACTATGCAACTAAACTGTTACTACCACCAATTTCTTCAGGGGCAGATGGAGGTGCATCAGCTGAGAATATGCATCCACATGTGAAGTGACTCTGTAAGAGTAACTATTTCTGCAACCTTAAAATTAATGCAGATGTTGCATGCTGAACAAAAAACATTCAATTGTTTCCATGAGAGAACTCACAGAAGTGTAAGACATAAGTAGGATTCTAGGTGTGGAAAGCTATGATATGCTTGCTAATCTTTCACATTCCACAATTGTTGCCACTGTACAATTGTAGACAACTGCCATTGGAAAATACCATGGAATGCTGGCATTTGCAGATTTAAGAAGGGTATTTAGAATTCACTTTCAGAGAGCTCTACTGCCTCTGTTGTTGTGTGCCTTCAAGTTGTTTCCAGCTTATGGCAACCCTGAGGTAAACCTATCATGGGGTTTTCTGGGGATGAGAGTGTGTGACTCACTTAAGGTATGCCATTGGGTTTCCATGGCCAAGCAGGGAATTGAACCCTGATCTTCAGAGTCATTGTCCAATGTGCAAACCATTAAACTATATTTAGTCTAGCATCTTACTACAAATCCTAGGAATACATAGGTTGCAGCCAAGGCAGTTAAAGTGTATCATAGTGCTGCAGTGTGAAATGGCCCACAGTTAGTCATGATTAAGTTTTTTCCATTGCTTTCATGGGTCTATTCTAGCATGTGTAAGTTTAGAACCAGTCCATAGGGGTCTTTTAGTTTATCTTCAGAAGAATTGTATGATAGTGAGATAGGTGAGGGTCCAGTTATTTATAAACTGGAAGCCATATAAACTGTGCCTCTCCACTCATGCTCAGCACTATTCATTACACCTCACTGCCACCCTAATTTCAGCTAATCATCTGTAACTATAGTATTTTGATCAGTGCATGATTTGGACAAGTAAAAGAAAGCTTGGCATGGCAGAAACCAACTTATGTCCTAAATATTCCTGCCATGGACCCTAGGGCTGATGGCAACAACATCCAGCATAGCCAAAACAAGACAAGAGGTACAGACTGAATGTAAACCACAATTTAACTTACCACTTGCCTTCTGGTTGGCTACTGGAATATTGCTTGCCAATTCTCCTCCTCAGTTTTCTTAGTGTTGACATCTACTGTGGATACAAGAGACAGCCTTCTGTGCTATGGTACCCCAGTTATGGCACACTTTCCCCTTGGAGGTCCAATTGGTGATAATATTGGTGCCAAATGAAAACATGATTGTTCATGAAAGCTTAGAGGATGTACTTGGTTTTACAAAAATGTCTCAGAAATAAATGTATTTAGTTCATTTTTAATCATTACACCTCTTTTAATCTGTCTTCCCAATTTGTTGAATTATTTACAGTGGGCCTCTGATTCTCTGCAGTTCAGTATCATATCTGTTTGATGGACAGGATGAGAATTCAAAATGGCCTTAACAAATTAGAAAACTATCCAAGGTGGTGTTAACTATTTTGAGAATAGGGTTTAGCACACGGCTAGACAAGTGTGTTTGTGTGTGTGTTGGAGGAGGGACAATTTTCAGTCCCTCAACCACAAGAGGCCCTATCACTCCTACGAATGCACTAAATACCTCCATTGTCCTCTGTTTGCCTTCAATGGAGTGAAGTCACATTACTTCTGGTCACCATTTGAAGGGGAGACTGAGGAAAACAAAGGTGTTTGAAGGAATAGGCAGTCTGCCAGAATGGGGAGGCATTTCTACACATGTTCCCCTTTTTGTACATGGGGGAGAGGTGATTTGGATGGAAATTATCTAAGCAATGTGATGGGAAAAAATAGGGGAGAATTGAGGAGATTTGTGGGGACCAGTGGGGATTTCAGGGGCCTCCAAAGTGGAGCCCAAGGTCCACATGTTCATGGGTTGCATGTTGCCCACACTTGGTTTACCCCTTGGATAGTCTCTAAAATTTGGGCAAAATCCCAGGGTCTATTCACTATGCCACTAACTTAACCCAGCCACCACTGTCCATATGTGTGCACTTATGCTTGTGTGGTATCTATGCTTATATCTCAGTATCACCTTTGTGGTCTTCTGGCATCTTGAGAGAGATGGCGAACTTGATGGCCAGAAGGAATACTATTTGCCTTCAAGAGCATGTTGTTTTAGCTAATTGAGAGCTATTCACAGTACTTTGGAAGTCCTTTTAAAATCCAGGTCCCTGCCAACACAAAAGAAACTGACTGACTTCAGGGACCCACTACTCCCTGTCATGTTTTCATGCCAATCATGCTGGTTCTGCCCTCCCAGGGTTGGCACAGTGTCTCGCCCAACACTCTAGCTTTGCTCCTGGTAATTCTGCCTTCAGAAAGTGGTGTGGAATTGCTGATGCTGAAACATGATTTCCAGATGTTTTTCCTGATTTACATGAGGCAGAACATCTGGGAATAACATTACAGCAAAGCAGGTTAGCGAGCAAGGCTACAGATGAAAGCTTGAGGGGTGGAGAACTGCAGAGAGACCTTGGCAAATTCTAATGCAAATGTCTCTAGGAAAGAAGCTCTCAAACACCTTTGAAAATGGCATTAATATGCAGCTGGCAGACTCAAGACTACTTACATACACTCGCTTTCTGTGTACACAACATAACCTGATTGGAACCAATTTTAAAAGAAAAGGAAAATATGAAGGGAATGCTACTGTTGTTCACATCCAACATGTGCACACACAATTATTGTTGGATTTTGTCAAAACATTTTTTTAACAAAGGAAGGAGAGAGAGAGAAAATGTTCATGGTTAAGAACACCCATTCACACTACATAAATATAGCACTACTATTCCACTTTAACTGCCATGAAAGCTTCCTATGGAATCCTGGGAGTTATAATTTGTGAGCCACTGAAGTCCTCAGATGAGAATTCTAAATGCCTTCCCTAAACTGCAAATTCCAGGATTCTACATGAGAGAACTATGGCAGTAAGCTTCCTTGATGAGAAAGGGACCTCACTGTAAAGAATTATCAAGAGCCACAAGATTTTTCACATTCTCTTTAGAGTGAAGTGATGACTGTTATTTCTTTCCTTCCTTCTTTCTTTTTTGTCATCAGCACTAGCAAATAAACCAAATATAAAGTGAGGTGCTTTGCACAACTTATCTTGGACTGCTGCCACACTACAGAAATAATGCAGTTTGACATCACTTTAACTGTCATGATTCAGTCCTATGGAGTTATGGGATTTGTAGTTTTGTGAGATAGTTAATCTTCATTGTCAGAGAGCTCTGGTGCCACAGCAAACTACAAATCTCAGGATTCTCTAGCATGGACCCATGACAGTTAAAGTGATGTCAAACTGCTTTATTTCTAAAGCCTGGTCTTTTGATAATATTTGATAATTTTGCTATATTTTGTAAAATATGATATTTTACCCACCCCAAGATATTTTACACAAATTATTCACAGAAATGTCTCATTTAAAAAATTGTAATGGAAAAACACCTCAAACTTACAGGGTTGAATCTTGGCTATTCCCACCTTGAGTTGACCCACTGAATCAATACTTAATGGGAAAGTTAATCTTATTAATTCAGCAAATCTTCCATAGTTGTATATAATGCTGGGATTTAGGGCATCATACTCTTCTACTGTGAAAGAAACATCGGAATTTTTTTATTATTATATATAAGCACAAAATAAGTGAAGATCTGCATCTTTACTCTGATCAAAATTTTGTTTTCAGTATTAGAAATGAGTTCCTTGGGTTTCTTCATTTAAGAACTTTAGCCAAGGGATGGGGAAAACAATTATGGAATACAAAAGCCTTGCAGATCTCCTACAATGTACTGAGTGGCCTAATTCTCCACTTGAGAATTGTAGTATCTCACCACAGTACAAACCCTAGGAGGCAACCCTGGCAATTAAAGTGGAATCAAAGTACTACAACCATATAATATGAAAAAGTCCCTACTAATAGTCTCTGATCTATCTTCCATCCACTGTAGTGTATACTGTATATTACAAACATCTTGTTGGTGTGGGCCTTCAAGTCATTTCCCTATTGTCAGGTTTTCTTGACAAAATTTATTCAGAGGAGGTTTGCCATTGGATTCCTCTGAGGCTGAAAGAGTCTGACTTGTCCCTGGTCACCCAGTAGGTTTCTGTGGCTGGGTGGGATTTGAACCCTGGTCTCCCAGTGTCCTAGTCCAACATTCACACCATAATACAACACTGTCTCATAAATCATGCCCAGTATCCTAAAATGAATTCAGTTTGGCTCACCATGGCATCAGAAATTTATAAACTCATTTTAAGGCTACTAAACTCATATTATAAACTGTAGCCTAAAGACAAATTTATGAAGGGACTGATGCCATGGTGATCTAAATTAATTCTACAAACACATATTTAAAGGGGGGGGATCCAAATCACAGTTTCCTGTAGGTCAAGAAATTAAAAGTGTGTTCTCCTGAGGCTTGCAAAGATCACACATCATTAAACTGATGACTGTGTTACAGAATGACAGCCAAGGAAGTGGTTAAGCTATCCATGGTCAAATTAGGGCTAACTTGTCTTTCCTTATCCCTAAGTTTGATTTTGCATGTTTCATTTTATGAATCCCTAGAGAGCGACCAAGATAGTTTTAATTGTACTTTGCTTCTCCCATTTAAATGATTAACTCATTTTCAAATGTGGCTGTTTTGAATAGATATCACAATCTTTATGCCTCTGGAAGCTCTTCTTTTTCTCATGCAGATTTTTCCCCCATGTGCAAAAGCTTTTCTTTATTTTTTTTTTTAAAAAAAAAACTACTTATACTTCACATTTTCAGGGATGTCTTATTTGCCCACACTGACTCCAATTATTTTAATTATTTTCAACACAGATTCTGTAGCAATTGTGTTTATTAAATATACTTGTACTTTGACATTGCTTGGGTGCACAAAAGGGCCATGGTAAAGGTAGTCCCTTGACATGAATGTCTAGTTGTAACCAACTGTAGGGGGCAGTGTTCATTTCTGTTCCTAAGCCAAAGAGCCAGCATTGTCTGAGGACTGTTCTGGTGGTCATGGGGCCATCATGACTGCACAAAACGCTGTTTACCTTCCCACTGAGAAGTGGTACCTATTCATCTACTTGCATTTGCATGCTTTCAGACTGCTAGGTTGGCAGAAGCTGGGACTAGTGACAAGAGCTCAATTCATCATGCAGCACTTGGGCCTTGAACTGCCAACTTTCCAATTTTCCAATCATCATTTCAAATGTGAAATGAATCAATCCATATTTAATGCATACCTCTAAGATTATCATCCAACATCTGTTTCAATATCTCCAAATGAATGAGATTCTACCATCTTCCAAGCTATACCACCTTCCAGACTCTACTGCTATCAAAAAGCTCTTATCATTCAAAAGTTATTCCTAATGTTTAGTTGGAAACACATTTCTTGTTAATTGAAATCATTGGTTTGGATCCTGCCCTCTGGAGCATTCTGGTTCTGGTTGCCAAATAAACATGAACAATTAGACAGGGGGATGTGACAGTGATGGAAAAGCTGGTAGTGGTGTCTTGGGAAGGTGTCACAAAGCCCTCCGCAGATAGTAAGAGAACATGGCTTTGTCACATCAGGCAGTTATGGAGCTATTATTCCACCTTAAGAGCCATGTCTGCATCTTATGCAATCCTGAGACTTGTAGTTTGATGAGGCACTAAAGCTCACTTACAGGGAATTTCGAATACCCCTCCCTAAACTGCAAAGCATAAGATTCTATAGGCTTGATCCATGGTAGTTAAAATGGAATCATAGCACTATAACCATCTAATGTGGAAGGGCCCCTGGGATTTTTTTGCTAGTAGAGCAGTAAATCTATTGTAGGTTTTTGTTGGCTCTTACAATGGGTTACTCAAGGTCCTGAGACTATTTATTGTGGTTGCTGTTGTTGTTGTGTGCTTTTAAGTCATTTTCAATTTATGGTGACCCTAAGGCTATCACAGGATTTTTTGGGGCTTGCCCAAGGTCACCCAGTGGGTTTCGATGGTGGAGCAGTTGTACTCCAATATTCAAACCACTATACCATGCTGACTCTCTGAGCCTGTTGAGGGGATATATTTCCACACCTTGATAGTTCCTTAAAAATCTGGTCTAAAACCCAGAGGAGAATCACTGCTTCATTGACATCAGTGCTGCCAACATCCACTGCATGGTTATGTCACCATCACTAGCAGGACATGGAGCAGAATCCTAGTAGAAGTGTAGTGAATTGAGGCCACTGTGCTTTAAAAAGAATAAAACTGTTTGAACTTCTAGTGTGGAAACAGTTAAAAGCAAGGTTTATATCCATCCCAAAGAGCTGCATATACAATATCTATTGTGTTTCTGAGGCCTTAAGTGGATTTGAGTGTGGGTTGCATTAGGATGGCAAGGGGTGCTTTCTTTGGTTTTGCCCCTTTTCTGCTGACTATGATATCCCTATAGAGCTGGTTTCCCCAGTATGATTATATTTGCCCCCTCTACTTTTTTCAGAACCTATATATATATATATATATATATATATATATATATATATATATAACAGCTTTATCTCTAAAGAGCAAATAATACCTAGCACTCATAACAGATGCCAAGAAATGTTTCTGTTTTGATTTTCGAAAATAAAAATTCTACTGTGTTCAATAAAATTCAGACGCCGTTTTCCTCTGTGGAAATTAAAGGAATCCAAGGAAGTGTAGGAAGATAGCGACTCCCTAATTAAAGCTGTAGCAACTGCAGGAATCCAGTTTTTACAACCACCTCGATCGCACTGTGCCGAGAACAAAGCCATCTCCCATTAATATTTTATTTTCTCTTTTCTTCCACTCTAACAATGCTCTGTGTTCTGTGTGAGCCCTGGAAAGACATGCAGAGCTATGTTAATTATGGTTTAAATAATTGACACTCTGATTGTGTTGTACCTTCCCAATTGTATGTGGCGTGTCACTAGTTCTACACATAATTACATCGATTCACTGCCACAATTATTTTGCCACTTACAGCATTGTCTACAGTTGTAGGCCTTACTGCATCTTACAGGAAAACAAGGAAGAGCTTCTCTACTAAATGATCTTTGGTGGCACTGTTTCTCTTTGAAGAGGCAGTTTATGGTCAACTGTAAAAGTTGGGGAGTTGGCTGTACTGATACATAGGCTATAGTTTAGTTAAAGGGACCTCCAGATGTTGGACTTCCAACTTATAGCAGGCCTAGCCAGCAAAGGCAAATGGGGAAGAATATTAGGACTTGTAGTCCAGCAACATCTGAAAGGCTAGTCCCAACTAAAATAGATCCATGGACTCAATGCTTGATTTGCAAGTCAACACCTATGGTAATATCATAGCTACAATGGGTCTACCTTAGTTAGGAGTATCAGTTGGATTTAAGTCATGTATGAGACTTAAGACCTCCAGATGCTGTTGAACTGCAATTCCAGCACCTCCCATTATTGACTGTGCTGACTGAGGCTACTGGGAGTTGTAGTCCAACAAGATCTAGAGGCCAACAGGTCATCACTTCTGATTTAGTTCATAATATTTAAGCCTTATCCCTCCCATCATGGCTGTCAGCATGGCGTAGTGGTTTGAACTTTGGACTAGGACTCTGAAGGAAAGGGTTTGAATCCCCACGCCGCCATGGACATGCACTGGGTGACTTGGTCGAAACCACACACTCTCAGCCTTAGAGAAAGCCCTTGACAAATACCTTCTGAACAAATCTTGCCAAGAAAACCCCATGATAAGTTCATCTTAGGGTCACTATAAGTTGGTCATGATTTGAAGACCAACAGCAGCAATAACAACAAATGCTATCTCTTAAATGCTGGCTGCTCTAAGCTATTCTGATACTCATAGGAGAGCTGTTTTTGCTGCTGTCTGATATCTTCTCTTCCAAGTACTGAACAACAAGTATGTATGTGTTTTTACCCATCCTTATATAATGTACTAGGTCTAATAGGGGCACCATTGATGGAAGGAGGCCATCTACCAGGGGGCATTAGGCCAAAGGCCCCTCCAAACCTACAGTCATCCCTGTAGTACTGTAAGCTGAGATGGAAGGGTCTATACATTACATTTGGTTGATCCTAAGATGAACATATTGTGGGGCTTTCTTGGCAAGTTTTTTTTTTTTTTAAGAGGAAGTTTGTCATTGCCTTGCCCTAAAGCTGAGAGCATGTCACTTGCCCAAAGTCACCCAGTGGGTTTCATTACCAAGATGAGAATTGAATCCTGGTCTCCAAAGTTCTAGTCCAACACTCAAACTATTATACCATGCTGGCTGTCATACCATTATATTACCAAAGACCAAATCCTCAGATAAGAGAGATGGGGGGGGGGAATTCTTTGGGCAATATGGACACTAGCCTTGCCTGAGGACACCAAGTTTCCTCCATTTCCCACCCATACTAAATTCTACATTGGGAAGAAAGCAGCTGTCATATTCCCTTAAGTTAAAAACTTACTTTTGCATTTCTGTTACTTGAGGCTGTCTTAGATATTTACCATCGTTGTGCTTTTAACATGTTTATCTGATTAATATTGCTGGGTCATTAAGAATAACAAGTCATAGTGTATCACATCCTTTCTTGGATCACTCCCCTACCTTCCTGGAACTCATCTTTGAGTGCTGGATGAGTTGCTCCGAAATTTTCAGTGTACAAGACATATTTCAGGCTTGCTAATTAGCTAGTCCTTTTTGTTTGTTGAGGCAGCTCTTTAGACAACATGACTGCTGTGCAAACAAGAATTTCCAGTCAAATGTTTGTCCCTTAAATCCTAATTAAAAAATAAAAAGGTGGTTCCTTACTGATGAGCTCCTCCAAAGAACTAGCACCATCATTCCAACCTAATGGAGTGCATATGTTTGTAGATATATGATATATGCTCTCAAAAATACCTTGAGCCTGGCATCAGCACACAGAAGTCCATGTTTGGGTTTGTATATTCATGTTTCTCAATAGTGGAATTCAGTCTGGAATCCTCTTCAGATTGTACACCTGGTTATAGCAAAAAATGGTCCACAAAGACACTGGAAATAGGTTTCCCATACCCCCTTACATGAGCTGTTCCTCTATTTGTCAGCAGTACAATGGTTCATGCACATGAGTGGAAACAACCCTCTGGATTTCCCTTCAATGTTGTCTGGAATGACTGGGAAGTTACCAGCCACATCACACACACAAACATACATGCACATTGCTGCCATCACCTCCATTCATGTAAATAATTCAGTGGAGTTTAACACTAGCATTAAACAGCATGTTGGCTTCAGTGTCCTTAGTTGGATGCTCGTGCCATTGCTTTTCCAACAGAAAAGGAGATGAGGCTCCTGCCTGGGCATAACTCAAAATAGTAAACTGAAAGAAAAATGATACTCAGTTAAAGCACTTCTTTGCCTCGTTAAGTGATCATGTTAGTATTAATAAAGCAGACAATTAGCAAACATTCTCAAATTCTCAAATACCAACAACAGTTTTGCTTCACACCTTTCCCTAAACTGAGATTATTTATTCTAATCTGTCAAACTTTGGACCTCTAATTTGGAGTAGGTTGCCACTGCACATCAGTTTTCCCTGCTGATCATTCTCATTATATTTAATAAACTGTGGCCCTAATTCAACAGACTCTTCATGTTTGCCTCTTTATTTCTTCTCTCACACCCTGCAATTGTAGAAACCAAAACAAATATTTTTCTCAAATTCAGTGGCATGACATTGTAAAGAGCATTTTGTGGTATGCCTCAAGGCAGAATTACATGGTACGTACCAATAATACACTTCTCACAGTATGTTCTCTAGTAACCAGAGCTTTACAACTCCCAGAATACTCCAGCCAATAGTCACACTGGCTAGAGAAGATGTTGAGGGCAGTAGTTAAAAATAATCATTTCCCCCTTTTTTTGCTACTAACAAAGGACAGGAAATTTGGGTCAAAATCCTGTTGGTACATTATTCTGGTATAACTACACAACTGTAGGTGGTGATGGAAAGAGGAAGATGGCTGCAGGCCATGAAGCAAAGAAGCCATTGGAGAATTATGTGTCTTGTAGCTTACAAATTTGTTCTGCTTTTCTTTGCTACCACCTTTGCAACTCTGGAAAATTTTCAATGCTAGCACAATATGCCAACAGAATTCTGCTCATAGCCTACATAAAACTGCATAGGGCCTTTAGCGTTGTGACACCCACTACATGGAATGCTTTTCCACCTCAGAGTCAACATGGTCCAACAATTTAGTTCCATATTGAAAAACTACCTGTTCCTGAAATCCTTCCCTGTGTTCAACCTACCAACTATTCCATGGGTAACACTGGCTGGAATCAGGTTGGCATCTTATGCATGTGTAACTTCTCCTATGAAAGTGGTTGACTATTTCAGTCCAGTCCACATTCATTTCAGGTCTGTGGAAGCAGAGTTGCTGTTCTGCATGGATGTTCATTATATATGAGTACACAAGGGCATTTGGTTGTGCATTTGGTTGTACATTTAGTGTGTTTACTCACTTGCCCAATGCTATCCTGTTCCATTACTGTACCAGCAGGCAGGGTGCCAGGAATTCAGAAGCCAAAGGAGCAATCAAACAGTCCAGGATCAGGAGCCATAAATCCTAAGTACAGTCCAGAGTAGCAGATAGCAAGGTAAAGAAACAGTCCAGGATCATAAATCTCAGATCGTGCTGTAAATGCAGGATTTAGACAGAAGACCAGCTTGTTTCCAGCAAGTAAAAGGGGGAAATCCTTGTCTTATAAAGCATGTTGACTCAGCCTCACCCAACTTGCAGATCATATTTCAGGAGGGCATTTCCTTGTGGCATGCTGGCAGCCTCTCACCTGTGGGGAAAGAATTGGATCTGATTCAGATGCCAGAACCTTCACCTTTCTTGAAGTGTTATCTCTTCTACCTCTTCTTAATGTGGCTCACTCATATGACTGTCAGAATAATCTGAAGAAGAACGCAGCTATGGCAAGTCAGCTTCATCTTCAGAAGCCAAATTCTCAAGGGGGGGGAGCATGACAAGTGCTGCCATTCAACACCATGGTTGTGTAGCACAATTCATGCACAACTCCAATGCAGCATCTCAGCCACTGCATTTAAATTTAGGATACTGCATATATTTCTTGCATATGTCTTGGAAATGTTCTGATGGAAGCAGTTTAAAATAAATATATAACAGCAGAGAATTGACAAGTGGAGAGGGCATTTAATCATTCCATTAGCCATTACTACTTCTTCCTTCCCTCCCCAGTTGGTTTTCTTCTTCATCTCCTCAGGCATAAGATCATTAGGATATGAGTTTGGGGGAAGCCCAATTCCCCACTCAGTAGAATGAATGACCAAGAAGGTGTGGACTCTTGATGTTCAAAAATAATGGAAAGGACAGTGCAAAACGGAAGGGATAACAATGGCATTTTCTTAGCCACGTAGCCTCCCAAAGCAGGACCTAGAACTGAACATGACCATCTGGATCAGAAGAGGGGAGTTATGAGACCATTAAGTCTTGAGTTAAATTATACAATTGTATCATATTCATCTACCCAAGTAATAAGGTTGGCCACTGTGAGGAAAAGGGTGCAGATCTAATCCATCTGGGTATTAACATGAAAACCCAATTCTCCTGCAGTTCTTTAACATAGTAAGAAATTGATTCTGAAGGTGCATTGCCTAACAAGTGACTTCATTCCCCATCTTTTCAGGAGATGTTATCCTAATTAGCAGTACAATATATTTTGCATATGAAGATCTCTAAACCTGCTAATTTTCAGTCCTTTTAATACACCTGCCAATCACAAATCTATGATACAGTAGAGGCTTCAGCAAAATAAAGACACAAAGTGATATTGGATTTTCTCCCTTTTAACTCTTTTCTTTAAAAATCAACCCAGATCTTGCCATAAGCAAAGTATCCACCTGCTGCATAATTTATAACCATTGATTAACCACTTGGTTAGAACACCTATTAATGAAAATTTAATGTAAAGAAGGACCCCCTTGTTTTAAAGGTAAAAATGGAGTTCAAAAATTCTCCAGTAACATTTGGAAAGAAGATTTTTGTTTAAGAAATAATGGGGGGGGGGGAGTTCTTTGAAAAATCCCAACTTTTTCTATCCCAGCTTCTCATCCTAAGGGGAAAAATCATGATACATGTTGGCAGAATTGCTTGCCTACAGTCAAACAATAGAAAGAAAGCTCTCTGTAAAGACATAGCTGACAGCTTCACAAATGTGTTCTTGACATCCAAAGACTATATTGTGCTGACATTGAGAAGATCGGCTACATGCCACTTTCTTCAAGCCATTTCTCAACTGCTACATAACCAAAGCATTATCACTATAATCACAACATTACAAGTGTCACCCCACACGACCACATTAATCTTGTTACACATGAGCACCCCACCACATCTGAGTGTTGAGAAGTTTCATGGACTTCAAATACTTACCCAGAATACACTTTCTTTGGAAGCAAATCTACTCAAGACTTACAACATTTCTATGGAATAAGGTTTATGTACACATTTATACAAGCTGCACATAACATGAGGATATCCAGCATTGACATCCCATTAAATGTGTGTTTGTTGCATTCAGCACTTCCTATTTTTGAAGCAGACTTAAAGTCAGCCTACCTTTTGGCTGTG